CAAACCAAAACTAGATGCTTAAGTAAAATAATTTTGGTTCAAGCAATATGTCAAACACTTGGTGTGCAACAACACCCAAGTGATATTTATGTTGAGTAAGTGATTCCAACCAGCCTAGTACAATGTCTTGTTGTACTTTGGAGTCAAAAACAGAGTTTTAACCTCTTACTCAATTGATATCACAGTTTTGACAATAGAGCTTACACAAAAATTACTTATTTTGAGCTATAACGTAAATGCTGAAAATAGAGAAGACAAGTAATTTGGTGAGGCAGTTCCCCCGTCGTCCTCGCTTCGGGGTACGTCTGCCCTCAATTCTAAAACTAGAATTGAGATATATTTTATAGATATCACCTGTTTGAATGAACAGTTTATACAAGGATTGAGCAGCAAATATACAACAGAAATCTCAATGTGTTGAAAGTTGCCTTCACTCCTTGCCCCATGATTCAAGCTGAATCAAGTTCTTCGATTTGTGTTGATGGACCTCCGACTCCAACCACCTTATTGAGTAACACGTTGTTGTTCAAACCTTTGGCTCCGGCTGATCTCAACAGCACCAAATCGAACCCGAGATCTTCCCTTTAAAATCACCGAATCCGCTACTAGACTTGTGAAGAACACCTCTTCACAATCACCTTCGCTCGATTGATCTTTGATGAAGAATCTCTTCTAAAAACCCCCAAAATTCAAACCAATCTTGGAGGGCAAAACCCCAATGGTTTTATTCAAGAAAGAACCTGTCACAATCTTCAACCCGAGCTTGATTCTCCGATCTAAGCCTCGAACCTTATCACCTTGAATCTCTCACAAATGCATTTCAAAAATGATTGTGTGTAATTGAAATGTTAGGAGATGTTGAAGATGAAGATGATGAATCTTGGACACCTATTTCACTCTTTCTTATTTTTGAACACATGAATCAAAAGAATATCAAATGTTCGTAGACACAAGTGTTTAAACAAGTATATATAGTGCCAACATAATTCAGGACATAACAGTATTTCAAATATGAGAGGGAAGTATTTTAAAACAGATTTTCCGTGCGAACGGTCGACCATAACAGGTCTGTGCGTCGACGCATGGCCTGTGCTGTTTTGGAAATCTGGAAATTTCATCAGTGTGCGTCGACCATACAGTCGGCGTGCGCTGACCCGTTGAAATCTATTTCCATTATGCGCCGACCCTATGGTCGACTCATGCCTTTACGCGCTGACCCACTGGAAAGTTGTTACTTCATGCGCTGACCCTATGGTCGACGCATTGCTTTGTGCGCTGACTAGTTTAGAATTTTTCTGATGCATACGCCGACCCTGTGGTCGACCCATGTCCTGCAAGCCTGCAAAAATTCATTAGTTTGAAGTCTTTCATGCCTTTGGTCATGATTGCATTTTGTTAACGCATAGTATATTCATTTCAGAAGTTTTAAGACAAGTGTAAAAGGATATGGTGGGTGATACGTTGCATCTGGTTTAGTAGATCTGAAATTTATAATTCCCAATCTATTCAGAGAATTTGTCATCATCGAAATCTGCATTAACTAATGTCTTGCAGACTTGTGTAATATGTGGCGCTTTGCCTCCACAGAAAAGAACGGGAGAAGGAGAGAAGATCGAAAGAGATGACAGATGAAGGGGGAAAGGCGAAGATGGGGATCGATTGGGGGCTAGGGTTCACTTCGTTGTTTGTTTTTTTTCTTCAGTTTTTCTCTATTGTAATCCTGTGATAATAAGTACACCGCACTGCAATGCAGCCCACACACGCACCACATGATCTATCCTCAGATCAAAACACGCGTTCCAAATCGCATACACACCGTGCACCTCTGTACCTGCGCTACCACTTAATCCCTCTGCCTCCCCTAATTAACCTCTAATCTGTTTTATTAATCAACCTAATCACTACCCTTTTTGTTAATTAACTAATTAATCAGTGTATAATCAGCCACCTTTTTAAAATAAGTTAATCTTTTATGCTTAATCCTTCCACTTTATTCATTAAATAACTCAACCTTTTTTTTATAAAATCACTTATAATTTAATTCAATTTTATGCTTTTATGATCATAATAAAAAAAAACCATTTTATTTATTAGTAACTAAAACCTATTTTATTTAAATCCCACCCTCATCTAGTTATTTAATTTAATTTAAACAATTACTTCTAACTATTATTCCATTTTTATTTAATCAATTTAATAAACTTTTTATAACATAGTAAAAATATGACCTTTTATTAAAATAAATGAATTTCTCTTTAGTAACCAATTTGTGTAATAAGTATTTTATTCTATTATAATTTTAAAAGAACCTTTTCTAAATAACTTAATTTTATTGATAACTAAAACAATTTTATATAATAAAAACCCCTTTTCATAATAGATAATTATTTTATTTGTAAAAAACTCACTTCATGGTTTTTTTAATAACTTTAATAATAACTTTTATATTTATAAACCAAAAAAATGAAAACCTTTTATAATAATTTAAGTAAAAGAAAATAAAACAATTTAAAAATCATTTTAACAATAATTAAACCTTTTATTAGAAGACCGTTTTCTTAAGTAAATATGATAATGAACACTTTTCTTAAAGCCAAGTATCATCAAGATAATATATTTTCAATCCGCCTAAAATCAACTCAGTGTCTCCTTTAAAATTAAACCAACATCGTCTAAATCAACTCACATCGCAAATAAATCAACACCTAACCGTGCACGTTTACACTTCACAACACAATTCACTCTCACACACTTCAGTGCTTTCATGCGTATGTATTTCCGCAATTTATTTTACGAGCAATTTACATTATCGTATTTATTTCATCGCATTGCACCCGTCCAAAGGAAAAACCTACACATAAGTCAACACTTGTGTGTAGTGCATTCACATTTGCATCATTCTCCCCACATGATCCTTGATCCCGTTCAAGTCGATCTTCTTAAGTTTAGATCCTACCCCATAGGAAGGACTTTTATCTTACAACTTAGAACAAACAAAACAATACAAATCAAACAATATTCAAACATTCAACAACTCAATACAACAAACATTCAAACACATTAGAGAAAGATGTCAAATCATCTTAAGCGAGATAGAATCTCCACCCCACAACAATACAATCAAGCCGTAGGGACTTTGCCTTAAGAGAGATAAAGGTGTACCTCGTTGATCCCTATCCGAGTACGTAAGTCCTTTTCTTAAGACGATGCAAAGACTATTTTCCTACAACTTGTGGCGGTTAAATCTCCCTTAAAATGAAGACTCATCTCTTATCCTAAAATCAATCAATCAACTACCCTAAACTCGTAGGAACTTTGACCACAGTCAAAGAACTCCTCTAACACTTTAGGGGAACTACAGATACTCTGATTCCACTCCCGTAAGAATATGTAGGCATAAGATGCGACATCTTATCGAGTATACTTAGATATAAACCACTAGGTCTTTAACCCTTAAGCAGATAAACACTTAGCAATAAACAAACATAAAACAAGAGGTTCCTGTAGAGTACTGCAGAAACTTAGGATGCTAGCACCTTCCCTAAGTTTAACCGACCCCCGAACCTATAACTCTCTAGCTTGCATTTGCATTGCATTGTGGGAATTTCGATCTTTATCCCTTCCTTTGGACAAATCAAAGTTCGGTTGCAAAATGAATTAAAGATTCAAACTAATTAATAGTTTGGTATCCGATTTTCACCGCGACACTCCTTTATTGTGGAGCTACGACTTGGGGGACTCCTGTTCTGGATTAGGCCCAAACCTGCCTATCCGTCGGGCAGGCCCAGCCAATACTATTAGGGGAAGGCCTAAAACCCCCAGTGTCGGGCACGACTCTAGACACGCCGGGCAGGCAACCTCCCTCTGTCGGACAGAACCACACCTCTTCCACATGTTCTCTACGTGCCCCTCCGCGGGGACACGTCATCAGCCAACTACCCACCTCCGAAAGAGCTGGTCAGCCCACCTTCCGGAGATCACAGGACGATTGAACTAGGGCAAAGACCACATGCTGGTCTTCACTACGCCACGTAAACCATAACAGTCACTTAGGTTGAGGCTGATAATTCAGCCCAACACAAGTGACCATTGGCCCTGCGCTGGGGTCTCACTATAAATACCCTCTTTCACTAGAGGGTCAGGTATTCAATTCTCTATCTCTCTTCTGTATTTACTCTCACTCTGGTCCATTACTTACTTTGGCATCAGAGTGTCTTGTAGGTACACCCCCTCCTCCTCTCTATTTCTAGTGAACAACCTTCAGATCGACGATGCGTGGCAGGTCACTGATTCCCTTTTGATCAGGTCAGATCAGTACTAAGATTTTTTTTATATTATTAACTAATGACGATCATGCATTCTGTCAAATTAAAATAAAAATTTTAAATTAATTATATGATATATCATACTAATATTTTTGTATTAAATTAAGATATAATTTTAAATTAATTATATCATATATCATACTAATATATTTTTATTAAATTAAGATATAAAAAATTATACTACATCACCATTAAACTCTTATTTTTAGTAGTAAATGTTATAGAATGAAAAAAAAAACATATATATAAATGTCGTTGGTTGACTACGCAGAACACATCAAGCCGAAGTGGGTTCAAATTTGCTATATTCCATTATTTTAAAATTCGTCATAGAGTATTTAAAAAATAAATAATGGCAGGTATCACCATGTCTGAACGAATGCATGATGAGATCAAGAAGAGTGATCTAAGTTGACAGTTACTTACTATAAATAGAACCACAATAATTCTCTCTCCCCATCTATTAATTACGCGGCATTCCGATTTCTCAGCTTCTTTTTCCATCGATTCTATTTCTTAACCATTTTTTTGGTACGTATAATCTTCACAGCTTTCACATTTTCCGCACTAGGTTTTCGTTCTTCAATGCCTAGTCGATTGCAGATTTTATCGCACACAACAAGGAAGGGAATGATCACGTTTGATTGTGGATGTTAATCGGTGGTGGTGAACAAAATGGATTCGGCAAGGAGTTGGTTATCCAAGTTTCAACCACGAGATAAACTGAGAGCTTCCACGAGGAAGAAGGACGATGTTATGGGCGGAGCCGAGGATTCCGATCCGTCTGTTGATGGTGAGTCTCTTTCGAATGTTACTAAGCAGAAGGTAGCGGCTGCGAAACAGTATATTGAGAACCATTACAAGGAACAGATGAAGAGTCTTCAAGAGAGGAGGGAGCGGTACATTATTTTGTGATTAATGTTTTTGTACTTTAATCATAAATTTAGTCTCTATAACTAATGAAATTTTAGAAATATCACTTATTTCGAAGATTCTCAAACTCAATCACATTAACTTCGTTAAGACAATTTCAATAATTAAATTGAGCGTATGTTATGTGCTTGAATTTTGCTCTACACTGTGTTGGTTGTGTTGACAAATATGCTGCAGAGCTCTGTAGCACCGACACCTTTGAAAAAAAGCGTGTTTGTGTCTGTGTTGGTATAGGACACCTACCCGGTAGACACTTGTGATTACGTTTAATTTATTCATTTTTTCAAATTATTACTAATGTCACCGTGTCTGTGTCGGGGTCGTATTTGGGTGTCCGTGCTTCATATGTTGCAGAGTTTTCTAATTCCTCGCTTATAACAGGCGAACCATCTTGGAAAAGAAGTTGGCTGATGCTGATGTCTCCGAGGAAGATCAAAATAACCTACTTAAATTTCTAGAGAAAAAAGAAACTGAATATATGCGTCTTCAGAGGCATAAAATGGGTGTTGAGGATTTTGAGATGTTGACTATGATTGGAAAAGGCGCATTTGGGGAGGTACTTATGTACTTATATATCATATGAGGCAATAGATTACTCTATCTTTCCGTTTATAACTCTTTATTTGCCATGTCAACTAAATGTTATACTTCTTCTGAAAATTTGAAATTGTTGCAGGTCAGAGTGTGCAGGGAAAAGACTACAGATCATGTATTTGCAATGAAAAAGCTAAAGAAATCAGAAATGCTTCGAAGAGGCCAGGTTTGTACTCATTTCATTTGTCTTGCCACATTATACTCTATTGACGAGAAGCAGTTATGCTGAGTTTATTGAAGTCATTACCCTTATTTCTGTGTTTGCTAATTATTCAGGTTGAACATGTCAGAGCGGAGAGGAATCTCCTTGCAGAGGTTGACAGCAATTGCATAGTAAAACTTTATTGTTCTTTCCAGGATGATGATTATCTATATCTTATTATGGAGTATCTACCGGGAGGGGATATGATGACTCTACTTATGAGAAAGGATACATTGACCGAAGACGAAGCCCGATTTTATGTAGGAGAAACAGTTCTGGCTATTGAATCTATACATAAACACAATTATATACATAGGTATCTATAGAATCATAATTTATTTCATATTGGTATTTCATACTCTGTCAAATTCAACTATTTCATGCAGGATTACAAGAAATAAGTATTCTTACGGTTGCATTCCACAGCCTTCAAAATGATCATATATTGAAAACTATTTGATGCTTGAGTCTGATTTATTTATCTTCATAGCAGTTTAGATATCTGTATAAAGTTGTAAAGAACTTAGTCAATTGTGCATTACAAATTAATCTTCTCTATATGTTATGTTGCAGGGATATTAAACCTGATAACTTATTACTTGATAAATATGGACACTTGAAACTATCAGATTTTGGATTATGTAAACCGTTAGACTGTAGTACACTTGAAGAATCAGATTTTTCTATTGGTCAGAATGCAAATGGAACTGGACATAGTGATGATCGTGCAGGTCCGAAGCGTACGCAACAAGAACAGTTGGAAAACTGGCAGAAAAACAGGAGGACACTTGTAAGTTCATTGCTATTGTATCGTGTTTTTTATTTATTTATTACTATGACACTGTAACTGTGAATCTTGACACTTTATGATCAATTGGGTTTCTTTTTTTGGTTTATTGTAAGTGTGAATGTATAAATGATGCAGGCTTATTCTACTGTTGGTACACCAGATTATATTGCTCCAGAAGTTCTATTGAAGAAAGGTTATGGGATGGAATGTGATTGGTGAGTTATTTGTGTGATTGTTGGCATTAAACTTACTTGACTCTACTATGTTCTTTATGGCAGACTTATATCATAACTTCTGAGTTTATTCTTTTCATTCAGAAGTAAGTAATTATTTCCAATGTTAAAATGTGGTTTTAAATTCAAGATTCTGACTTCTATATTTGGAATGTCATCTGGCACATTTTTATTTTTTTTCTTAAAAATGTTCTGTAAGCATACTGTACTTTTACTCGTTTATGTGGAACACCTATAGAAGCTCCAATAAGGAGATTAGATAAGATAAAAGAGCAGTCCAGTAGTAATTTGAAAGAGGAAAAAAGGGACAAACTAAAGTTCAAACCATTAAGGAGGGTTTAGGTTTAAGTGGTTTTCCATTAGATATGATTTGTTATAGGATATTATGACACTGTATAGCTGATACCACTTAGTGATAAGAGGCTTTATCGTTGTCAGGGCACGTATTTTGTTTTGAAAATTGACAGTTAGTTTTTCACAGGTGGTCACTTGGAGCTATTATGTATGAAATGCTAGTGGGATATCCACCTTTTTATTCTGATGATCCAATGTCAACATGCAGGAAGGTAATCTTTTGGAAAGAAATGTTTGCTTTACCGATGGCTAACCTTCTCTGTTGGTTCTTTAATCCTCTGCAAGATACCCTTAAAAAAAGTATTTTGTTCCCATAAACTTTCACTTACTTGCAAATAGTCACAGCAAATACCAAGTTTTTCAATTTAGTCACTGAACTAAATAAGTTTTACTCAATCATCTCTTCTTCTGTTCATCTAAGTTAATGCACTAACCGATAATTTTCCTTTCTTTTCGTTTTCCACTTTGTGAATTCATCTGTGCCCTGACGAACCTGTCACTTGTTGTAATCATAATATATTTTGACATTGCACGCGCACCTCAAGGATTAGGCGTCTCATGGTGTCCGACACTCCTATAATACTCGTATGACACCTGTCAAACCAACTCAAACTAGTGTCCCAATTTTTTTCTTTGCCTCGACACTCCTTGGATTGGTGTCCAGCTCCCGTGTGACACGTGTTGACAACTCATACAAGTGTTTTTCTTTGCTTTGACACACCTTAGATACATGGCAAAACACACCTATAAAGGTTAAAGATTTGTTGAAACAATATTGATCAAAGAGTAGTAAAAATTAAATTAAATTAAATTACAACATTTGTAACGTTTTCGACGGTAGATGGATAAATAAAGGTTAAATACTATCTTATTTTGTCTTAGAATTTCTTTAACGAAATAAATTTCCCAATTTAGATGTACACATATATATTTTGATTTTCAATTCAGATCTTTTATAATAATCTTAATATTTTGTTTAATTATGGGAAATAATTAAATATATATAGTGGTAGTGTCCGCGTCCTATACTTTTTTACATCAACAGTGTCGCCCTGTCCGTTTTGGAGTCCGTGCTTCATCTGACATGTGACCTGGTCATGCTGTGGCATGATTAACCTTTTAGTGATTGAAATCTTAGGTAAACGGTTTTTGTTGTTGATAATTTGATAATTTGATAATAAATGCTTTCTTTCTAAAGAAATGGAATTTGGTATTATTTGGAGCTATAAGCTATCTTGTCTGTTATTTGGTGAATTGATATCACGCGAACCTGTAATAGCTGTTCAAGCAACAAATAAACATCAGTGTTAATTGTCTTATTTAAGATTTGCTGTCCATGCTTTGTCGAGTTTTCTTCTTATTTTTACTCTGTTCTTTAGCATATTATATTTTACTGTTTCATCTGGTGTATTTTGATGATCGTATGCACTATAATTTAGGGATCCCAAATTTGATATAGCTAAATAAATTTATCTACCTTTCTAATTTATGCAGATAGTAAACTGGAAGTCTCACTTGAAATTTCCTGAAGAAGCAAGGCTATCTCCGGAGGCCATAGATCTTATAAGTAAGCTTTTGTGTAATGTCAACCAGAGACTGGGGTCAAATGGTGCAGTTGAAATAAAGGTGTTGTATGGTGTGTCCTTTTCTAATTTATTAAGTTTGTTACAAGAAATTTGGATATAGAAATTAAATTACTATTGTATTCCTCTGCAGTCTCATCCATTCTTTGATGGTGTTCAATGGGAAAAGTTGTATCAAATGGAAGCTGCATTTATTCCTGAAGTAAATGATGAGTTAGACACTCAAAATTTTGAAAAGTTTGAAGAGGTATTTGAATATTTCAAATTGTTGTTTTTTTTCGTATTGCTATTCATCCAAGGTCATTCAGCTTAGCTAAGTTATCTTCTTTTTACACTTTTCCATCTGCAGGCTGACATCCAGGCTCATTCATCATCAAGAGCTGGTCCATGGAGAAAGGTAATCTTAGGTTTTTTGTTTCTGTGTTTGGCAATTGTCATACATTTGTTTCTTCATAATTATTCATGGCATGTTTCACTGCTGAAAATTTCAGATATGACATGATGCACTTTTTCCATAATATTTGGAAGCTGCAAGTCATTGCTCTTCCAGGAGTGTGTATCTGTTGGGCTTTCTAAAGAGATGATTATGGTTCATGATATAACTAGAAATGAATTTCATAAATCTAGGGTTGTTAATCTGACTTGTCACAGATGTAGTAGTAACATACAATCAGCAAGAAAAATGAAAATGTCTTTCTAAAGCTACCCGATGACTGTCTTGCTCAAACTGATATCTGTCGAGACTTTCATAACACTTCTTTGCCTGTTGGCTTATATAGTTCTTTTATCTTCAATATGTTGGCGCTGTTATCCCTATCATATATCTTTCTTTTTTCTCATTCTTCTGTCTTGCTCATTGGGATGTTGCAGATGCTTTCATCTAAGGACTTCAATTTTGTGGGATACACATACAAGAACTTTGAAATTGTAAACGACTATCAAGTTCCTGGGATGGGTACATGTCTCTATTTTCTTCTACTTATGAGTGATAATCTTTATGTTAATTATGTCTGCTACAAATTTATATTTTGTGTTGTCATATGATTTTAGTTTTAGCTATTATTCTTGTTTGACAGATGCCCCACTTATCATAAGATGGATATGTTGATAGGCATTAAATTTTATCGACAAAAGCAATGGAGAATAGCTCCTTACTAGAGTAAAAGTTGCAGAAATAAAGAGGGAAATATCAGAGAAGGAAGAATGCTTTCTCTGCCCCTGGCTTCAGCCACCCCTGATTACCAATTTATCCAACACCCCATCTTGACCTTCTTTTCCTCCCCTGGCATATTCCCCTTTTCCACGTTAACCACACCCCTCTTTCAATGTCGTGCTGCCATCTATTTATTCTGTTACTACATACTACTCAAACTTTCCCTTTCCACCTTAACACAGTTCTTCAAACTTCCTGGTTCTTCCGTTCTTTTCTCTCTTAAACATGAAGACTTATCACCCATGATTTAGAGGCCGATGGAATATGTGTTAAATTTGGGGAGAAATTCAGGGGCTCTTGGTTATGATATTTCCAAGGTTGAAAGATAATATTTATGACCCCTAATGTTTAAGACTGATCCATTTTTCTAAAATTTGAATATAATTGTTGAAAAATTGTCCAATGCAAGTCTGCCTATTTAAAATGCTACAGATAAGAAAGGGATCCTAATTGACGAGATCATAACTAACAATTATCCTGATTGATAAAACTCATAATTAGTTAGTGATAAAGGATAAAGCAAGTCAAGTCAGTAACTTAAAAGTATATTGCTGCTATGTTCTCTCTATGGTGCTACGTTCCACATCATCACTCCCCTTCTCGGCTTTGAGCTTGTTTTCAATCTCAAACTCGGGATAAGCACCCTGGGCTCAATCCATTAGATAACACAATGAGCTTAGTTGTTGTTCAATTTATTCTCTCCTGTTCTTCCTCGCTGCCCTTCTTCTAGGTACTGCTGCCTTCTCAGCTTGCACCAAGTTTGCTACTCTTCTTTTACACAAAGAGCTTATGCCAGTGGTTTTGGTGATGGGACAATTGACCAGCAGGCTTGATTCATCCATTCCATTTACTCTTACCTCTATATGACTGATGTTCTGTTTTGGTGCAGTAAATCAGTTAAGCCTAATTAAGAACTGAAATCCCACCGTCACTTCTTGACTACCTTCCTTGCACAACCCATCACCCCAGCTACTGGTGCATCAGATGTTAGGAACCCAATTCAAGAGATAATAGAAAATAGAAAAGTATTATATTAATGATAAAAGAAGAAACTATTACAGTGAATAAATTCCCTATAATCCCAAAGCAAAGCTCCTCAAAGAAAGAAGAAATCCTCCCTTTGCCCAACCCTAAGGTTCTAATACAAATGATACTAAATAATCCACTATTTCCCTCTCACAAACCTCATATACTCCCTTCACATGTAACTTTCCCGCTCTCTTTAACCAACTCATGTTTAACTTCCCCACTCTCTTTAATCAACTCATGTTTAACTTCCCCACTATCTCTAACCAACTCACATTTGAGTCTCTTTCTTTCAATGGCTCCTATTAGCAGACCTCCTTGTTTGAAACTCATCTTCCTCATTGTGTCCATTAGAGCTTCCCTACATTTCTGATGATTCTTCTCCATCCATGTCTAGGATGTTAAAATCCACATGCACCATCCATTGCTCCAAGATCAAAACTCTGATACCAAGTTGTACTGGCCTGAGCATAGGACCTATGGTGAAAGCAAGAAGCAGACTCCTTCTGGACTACCACAACTATTTTTGAATTTTGAACACATTCATGATTTATGTCAATCCAAGTCTTCCTTTTTTAAAAGCCTACGTATAAGAAAGAGATCCTAGTTGATAAGATCACAGGTTCAGTTAATATTAAAGAGTTTAAATAGGTAATTGGTCCCTACAAATATACTACTTTTTGGTGTTGGTCCCTGTAATTTTTTTTTGATTTTGGTCCTTGCAAATATTTTTTATTTTGCTTTTAGTCCCCGTCCTTTTGTTTTTGTCTTTGCAAAATTGACTTGTATTGGAATTGGTCTTTCTAATATGTAGAATATTTGATTTTATTGTCTCCAATATGAATGACGTAATGACTAAGATCAAATATTTTACATATTACAAGGAACAATTCCAATATAAATCAACTTTTCAGGAACTAATACAAACGAACAAGGTTCAAAACCAAACAAAAAATATTATAGACTAAAACCAAAGGTATATTTGCAAGGACTAATTACACATTTAAATCATAATTAAAGTATGCATGTGCAAAGTGTTTGACCTAAATGAAATTAACCACTTCTAGTATGCCAAAAGTATATTGCGTTCCATCCATTATACTTTACTAAATGCGTTGTGTGATTCATTCATCATAGGTAGAATGTTAGAAATTTCAGAGATTAATGTTTGTGATCTCCAAAATACTCAAAGGGAAGTTTGAGAATGTTAATAATATAGATCCTTCTGAAAATGATCAAATGGGCATACAAAACATTTCTTTTGGATTCAGCACTTCTCAAACTTAACTTAAGCTGTGTTGTCATCTTCTTTATTCTCCTTTTTGGGGCCCCTTCTCAAGTGTATTACAATGTTATGTAAGAACATTGTTTCCTTATTTTTGGTTGAACCATGTAAAATTTGAATCTATCCCTTTATTTTCTATACTCAGCCAAACATAAAATCTAGACGTTTTCCCTCACTTTGCTCTATTGCTTGCTTGCTTTCTTTCTCAAGTGTTTCCTTGTGTCACTTCTTTTATTCCCATAAAAAAAGCAACCGAGTGCTCTGAAGTTCCCGCCGCAGTAAGATCTAGAGAAAAGTTAGATCTGTTTTTGGTTTGTTATAGCAGTCTTATCTTGCGAGTTGGAGACTGATTTACAACTCTGAACATGCAACTTTCTAGTCACACGGCAGCAAAGCACATTCAACTGAAGCTTGCATATCTTCTCTCTCTATGAAAGATTTGGAAATAAAAATCTTTGGTTCTTTTATGGGTGCATGCATACTATATGATACATGTTAAAATCTCCTTGTTCTTCTGATAATTTATGTTCTTTGTGTTGATTGATTTTACTATCCTCTTGCTGTGCAGCTGAACTGAAGAAAACCTCCAAACCTAAGAGGCCATCTGTCAAGGCGCTGTTTGGTAAGCGTACTTCTTTTTAACCATCTGTTTCCATCAAATTCAAACATTTTCTTTTGTTTGTGTTGCTCTTTGCATACATTTATGTTTTTCTTGATTCTTCTCTTCCAATCAAACTGGGGTGGCATTATAGACGAGGACTCAGAGACTTCCGATGTGTCTGATATGTCAGATGTGACTGCAAGCAATCAACCTACTCAATGAAGTTTATTAATCCCTTGACACCCAAATTAGAAGTATCTCAAAGCTTGAAGGAACCTTTCCTCATAACAAGGCAGACTTTGATGATCTACCTGCTCAAAAAGTATAGTTGCCATAACTCAAGCCTGTGGCCTTTTGACCATTTTTAAATATAATTCTTGATGCTATTCACGTTTGAATCGTTCTTGGCAACATTAATGTTTTACATGAGTGCTGGTTTGAAGAAAAGCTGGAAGGAAGTGTTGTCTCTAGAATCAACTTAGCCTCAATTTAGCTTAGACGAATCTTGTCAGCTTTGTTGGTCGGTCACACCACAGCTATAGAATTGTAAATCTGTGAAATATATGTGACACTGTGTATATTCATTTATAAATAAAATTAACTTTAAAAAAACGTGTATAGCCGCATGTATTCTCTTACATTAAGCCACATACAGCAAAGTATTTACCCCAAAGGATAGACTTAGCCTATGTAAATATCTTTTAATTGAGCATACTATGATCTTTATAAATGTGAAAGGAAGTTACTAATTTTTTATAATTAGAATTCAAATCAGAATATATTTTTATTTAGCAGTTATGTATAATTAGAATTCAAATCAAAATATATTTGTAATTAGTAGTGATAATTATGTAATATTTTGCAATTCTTCTCTAAATATTACATAAATAATTATGTAATATTTTGCAACTCTTTTCTGGATCTTGAGTGTATATTAGAGGTCTTGATACCAACGTGTCTATTAACTCAAGGGACCATTGGTATATTCTGTCTAAAGTAAAGGAAAAATATGTGATATGAAGCAAGATCAATGCTTTTTCTACATGCAGTTTAGCCACTTTGTTTGCAATTGCAACAAGAAATTCTGTAACTATTGAAAGTAACATGGTCACATCATCGTAGAATGGCCGACCCAATCAACAAAGAGACAAGTGCAGGCCTTTCATGCCATTATTGCTTTCTTTGACCAAACCTATGACCCTTCTGCCTTCAATAGTGTTGATGGAAATGTTTTGATTCTAAAAATTGTGCAACAAATGGCACTCCTTGTCTTCTCTGCTTTAGAAATCCAGTGTAATTCTAATATTGTCTCTCCACCTTGGTTTGTTGGTTCCGGAGCCTCCATTCACATTGACTTGATCCATTAAAATTTTGCACAATGTTAGCACCCAAAACATTTAGATTGCAAATGATAACTTTTTTTATTAGTGTTAGAGACATTAATTCCTCATTTCAGGATGTGTTTGTATTCTTTGGATTTAATCAGGAAAACGAGTTCCTCCTAAAAAACGAAAATTCGAAAAATATTGAGTCCAATTCTTAATAAATTTAATGTTTGATTAGGTTCATGACCTCTCAGGCCAAACTCATACTAGAGTTCCTTTCCTCTAGGAACCAGAGGATGAAAACAAAACAAAAAAAGTGCGCGAGGGGACCTAAAGTGGGTTAATTGTTTCATTTTCAATTTAATTATAGTAGCATTTTTTTTACTGTAATAATTTTTCTAGTCAATATTAGCGTTGAAGTATGTCTTAAAATCTTTTAAGTGATGAAGAGAAAGAAAATTTATTGAGATTGTCAGAAATCTAAAAGCCACAAAAGTAGGTTTGACAGACAACGTGACCGATTCATATGATTTGCAGGTACCAAATGTTATCGGTTCCTTTTACAGGTGCGTTTATTAATGTTAGAATATTTTATATTAATTTAGATATATTATAAATTAATAAAAAAGAAATTATATAATATTTATAATATTCTAAATTAATATAAAAAATATTATAAGATATTTATAATATTTTAATTCTAACCGTTAATGGGTTGTGTTTTGGGTCTATTAACTATCCATTGGGTTTGAGCAATAATAAACATGTATCTCTATCATTTTTACCTTCACAACATTCAAAACATTATTAGCTAGAGATAAGGAGAGGGATTAGGAATCTTCAGTAAAATTAGAGAGACAAGAGTTGAAATTTCTTAGAGTTATTGGAATTCGGAAAACCTTTGGAGGTATCTAAATGGAATGAGAAACATTTTTGTGTGATTCATATATTAAGAGTTGGAAAGATTGAAAAACACTTGGATAAAAATTGTATTTTGTTTGTGGCAACTCAAAAACTTTTTTTTATAAATTACTTTTAATCTCTTATAACAACTTTTAGAAGTATAATGAATCATATAGCTCTTTTTCTCAAGAGTAAATTGTTTGATCGAGTTGGATAAACAAGTCATTATGTTCTTATCTTTTATCTTCTTCTACCTTGTTATGATTTTGTTTTAACATTTTCGCTGATTACTGTGTTGCTTTATGTCATTTATTTCGGTTGTCATTGTTCTTTGTCCTCACGCATCAGTTTTTTGGTGTGGTTGAACTTTAAATTATTCTTATTAGTTGCTTTGAATTATTCTGTCAGTTTTTTACAACAAGTGATGTCATTCTCGAAAAATGGGTATTGTTGACAAGTGAACACCTTGGATAAATGGGAGATTAAGAAGTTTTCCAGAGACAATGATTATGAGTTGTGCAAATTGAAGAATCAATCAATCTTAACTCAAGAGAAACTTATTGAAGTATTGAAGGATGAAACATTGATGCTTGCATGCCTAACACAAACGAAGAAGACTATGATGGCGGATAAGGCCAGGAATGTCATTATCTTGTGCCTTAGAGATAAAGTTCTAGGAGAAGTCGTCAGGAAGAAAACAATGACTTCAGTGTGGAAAAAACTCGATTCATTATATATGACTAATTCTTTTTTTCTCGTACAGGTTGTGTCTGAAACAACAAACCTACTTATTTTGAATGGTAGAGATTAGAGAACAAATCTATAGTGGAGAAGTTGATATAATTTCTCAAGATTATTGACGATTTAGGAATATTGAAGTGAAGATTGAAGAAGAGGACAATGCTATACTCTTTTTGAGCTCATTATCCATATCCTTTGAGTACTTTAAAGATGTGTTTCTTTATAGTAAGGCTTAAGTGTCTCAAGAGGAAGAAGTAACGTAAGGCATGTACAAATAAAAAAGATGACAATTCAAAGGTAAATGATAATTTTATTTGTATTGCAGTTGCCTCTGACAATAATAGTTATTAGAGTGTTGGTGCATTAGTGGTGTCGAGTATGGAGACTAGAGAGGATTAGGTAATGGACCAAAGTTGTTCTTATTATATTTGTTCAAGAAAAAAAATACTTTGAGACTTTATAAATATAAAAATATCTGACGGTGTATATTTATTTATAAATAAAAATAATTAAAAAATGTGTATATTCACATGTATTCTTTTACTTTAACCTAAATAACAGAGTATTTATCCTAATAGATAAACTTTGGAGATGTGGCTCGTCACTTAGTCCTTGTTGAAGGTTGTGTGCAAAGATGTTTATGTAAATTGAAAGTATTAATGTTTATTCTTTTACACTAACTAATTTCATGAGGATGATGTGTGAATAAGAATTTTGAAAAAAAAATTGTTATGTTAGATTTTTAATGTAATTAGTTTTTAATTGAGCATAATATTATTTTGACTTCATTAGTCTCAAAGTCTTTTAACTAAATTTCAGTTTTCACTTTAATCTTTTATTTATTAAATGTTACATTTTAGTCCCTTAAAAACTATTACATTAGTCAAGTTGATTTTTTCTGTTAAATTTTGTAAAAAAAAAAATATTAAGTTGTGCATATGTGGCATGACAGCATGACAAGTGAGTCAGCAATTTAGTAAATGGACTAAATTGAAATCTTATATATAATTAAAGTACTAAATTGAAACTTTTTTATATTAACAAAATCTTAAATATAATGACATTAAACCAAAATTATGATACATTACTTATTCAAAACAAGACATTAAATCAAAATGATTTAAGGTGTACACAAATACAATTACAAGAGTTTTTTTTTTAGAAAATAAGATACTATATTAACCAAAACAATTAAGTACAGCCGATCCAAAGAGGATTCAGGAAAAACATCAAAGCCTGCTAGTTAGAAGTGCTACTACTAACATATCTCTTTAACACCCTATGAGTAGCACATCTAATAACAATAGTATCCAAAATTACATCTTTCCAGTTGTTACAATTAGTGGTATTACTAAAACATATGTTGTTATGGTTGGAAATATAAGCATCCATCACATTCTGATTCTTCATATAATATATATTTATCCACTTAACCCACAGTTTGCCAGCTTTCTTCGGAATATTCCAAAGTAGCTTTATCATGGTTGTTTGATTCGTTTCAACCAAGGAGATGATATTTAGACCACCAGCCTTCTTTCGGTTGCACACAATATCCCAAGCAACCAGGGCTTTCTTTGACTTATTTTCTTTCTCAGTCCATGAAAACATCCTGCAAATCTGCTCAATCTGATGCAGCACTTTTTTTTGGCAGAGGAAAAACTTGAAGCCAGTAGTTTGCTATTGAGAACATCACACTTCTAATGAGCTGACATCTACATGTATAACTAAATAACCTTGCTAACTAGTGGGTAACTCTCTCTAGCATTTTATCAATCAAGGGCCTACACAAGTTGTTGTAGAGATCTGGTTCTTCATATTAAATAAAAAAATTTATCTTATGGATTATCACAGTATAACTTCCTTCTGAACATGGTATAAACTGTGCCCCATAGCTTATGTGTCATCTAATTACTATTTTCTCCTAAGAGATTAAACAATTTTGCAAGTTCCCAATAACATATTTCAATGCATTAGTATAAAATTTCCCAGTAACAAATATGAGACTGCAAAATCTCGAAAAGTATATAATTCTGCATTTATATAATATGAAAATAGTTGCCTCAAAGATTTAGTAGGGAAATATGGAGGGATGCACTATTATTTTAGAAATGAAATTTCACACAACTTTAAAAAGAGATTATTATTCCTAAATTTAATGAATCCTGCTGAGAAATAGAAATGTTATTCTATCTTAAGAAATGGTTAGATATTTACCTTCAAATTTTTAACGGTTTCATCCACACTTAAAACAAT